CCTCCCCTACACACCCCATACATTCTCTGCACATCACGCCCCCGATGAGCTCCTTTACATCCCCACACAGCCCCAGATGGGGCCCGGGCAGGCGGGACTGTCCATTCCCAGGGCAGATCAGCCTCCTCCTGGGAGGCTCTCGGGTGGCTGGTGCTGCCTGGGGACAGGAGCAGGGTGTGGTGGCCTCCTGAGCGCCCCTCCAGCCCRATTTTCCAGTGATGGTGTCCATGTCCAACTGGTGAGCCCCGGCCCTCCCATCCCATGGTCCCACAATGCCAGCAGCTTGCATCTCCTCAGAGCCCATCCATTTGGGGAGGACACGCTGATCACTGGCCTCTGGAACGCCTCAGGCTGGGAGTGAAGAACTAAGGTGTTTCTGCAGGACACAGTTATTAATAAAGCCAAAAGCCTGAACCAGGCTTGAGCAGTGTCTTTGCAGAGTAAAATATAACCCTGTGCACATCAACTGCCCTGAAAGCAGCCCAGGCCCTCCCCACTGTGCTCCCTGCACAAGGAACAGCTTTAGGACTACCTAAAAATTCAAAATATTTAAGTGTCCCAGTGGAGAAGCTGCTCCCGGGCTGGAAGAGCTCTCAGAGTGTTTCCTGGGGAGAAACAGAGACAAAACAACTYGCAGATAAGTTCCCTTAGAATCAGGAGCGGTTTTCTGGATTTTACTCTATGTGTAGGGAAGATTTTTTTTCTCTCTAAAGTAACTAAAATAGCTTCTTTCACACATGAGAAAGGGAATAGAGGGAACTGTTCCAAAGAGCCTCTTTCCCTCAGCACCCCCCTCCTATGGCACAAGGACTTTTATCCTCAGAGAAATGGACAAGCTGAGATTTTTTGAGTCCCTGGGGCAGCCAGCCAGTCAGTAACAAAAGCGAAGTTAAACAACTCCAAACAAAAGCAGCAGCAGAACGGGGGTGTGGCAGTGGAAATAATGCCTGGCTAAGTAGGAAACTTTAATGATGATACATGGAAAAAGTTAAACAATTAGAACTTGAATCAGTCTGGCCCTGGTCCCACCTCATTTAGTTAATAAATGCTGCGCTTCATCACGGTGGAGCTAACGCCTCTTTTTTTCTAAAGAGAGAGGAGGATCCCAGTGTTGGGCTGGTCACAGAGGCTGTGTGGGCAGCAGGGGATTTGGGGGGCCCCAGAGCTGCCCAAGCTCTCTGTGGGATCATCCCAAGGGGCTGAAGCCCCCAACAGCAATGCCCAGGGCAGAGGGGCTGGGATGGCGGTGGCTAAACCACAGAAACACACCCACCACATGTGTGCATTCATGGGGGAATAGAAAAACCACTAATTGGAGAGTCATAAACATGTTAATTATTTGAATATGTGCACTAATGAGACATGGAGTTACACAGACCCACACAATGGAAATCTTTCCTGCCACATGCGGATCCTCAGAGGTTTTGTCTTTTAAATATTTTAGGCACATACAGACAACAATCTCCATAAAATGAACACTTGCCAAATAAAACCTTTTAGTTTAAATATTGGAGGCACTTACCTCACATCCCTTATGACTTTCCCATACAACAGTGATTCAAACCCCAATTAACCACTAAAACAGGACCCATTGAGACAGAGCTAGAGAAGCAAAGATTCCTCTGACACAGCTGCTAACCCGAGCCCGCCCTCACCTCCCAATCCCCACACTCCCAGCACCCAGAGGCTTCCATGCTCCAAGGGTCAGCAGTAATCTCCGTGGGAAGAAGGCCTGGATCACTCCAGCAGTGACACCCCCAGCCCTGCAGAGCTGTGGATCCCAGCCTGGGCCATCAGGTTCCCTTGGAGTGTCACCATATCCGGTTAAACACCCCCAAAATCACCGATTCGCTGGCCTTGTGCAGGGGCAGGTGCAGCAGAGCTCTGGATTATCACAGGATGAGCTGGGTCACGCTGGTGGAGAGCAGCCAAGCACCCTGGGGGATCACAGAACAGGCAGAGACACAGGGACACCTCCCCATGTCCACACCTGAGAGGATGCGGGATCCCAGGAACGCCTCAAGTCAAAAATAACACAACCAACTCCCTCCAAATCACAGGCCAAACCTCAAACCAGCTGTCAATGAACTGTGAAAAGCACAGGTCTCCAAGCTGTTTTTGACATTTATCCATTTATCCATTTATCCATTTATCCTCCTCTCCTGGATGCCAAGGGACCCCCACACATACAGACCAGGCAAAAGCCAAGCTAAGTCATGTGAGACATAAAACCCATAATACATTTTTATTTTTTTGTTTCATACAAACAGCACCCTCCCCACATTTTACAGAGTTTAACAGCATTATCTGGTGACACAGAAGGTGACACTTGCTTGTGGCATCTCCCKCAAGACTCACAACAGGAATGGGGGGATTCCTGAAGCCAGGAATCCATGTGCCCTGGGATGGGGTTGTGTGAGGCAGCTCCAAGCTTTGCAGGGTGATTATTTACTCCTAAGAAAGGGTATCATGAGATGCCACATGGAAATGTTGATTTGAGGGAAATTGGGATCCAATTAAAAGAACCCAGCATTCCCAGTGCTGCACTGGTGTGGCAGCCAAGCAAGACCAYCAAGCAGCCCACTCAGCTGAGTGTTCAAAATGACAGAAATGACCAATTTAAGGATTTCTTGGTGTTCCCTGATCAGGGCTGCAGACTCCTGGCCTCCTGCAGGACATGGCCACCSTGCAGGTGGAGTCAAATGGGGACAAGAGCCCCAGGGAGTGACAAACAGCACCACTGGAAGTTCCAAATGTCTGGCTGGAAAATGGGGAAAGGCACCTGTGCATTAATGTTGTGAGTTTTCCATCATGCAGCAGAGCTATATTCAATCCTGCATTTGGGTGAGGCCTGAACTCTCAAGCTGCAGGCACCAGAGCTYGACCCAGCAATGTGTAAGGGTGACAGAAGAATTCAGAATAAATGTTTCTGACAAGGGCCACCTAAGGAGCTCCAAGCAGAGCCCTGCAAACCAGGGCAGTAATGCTTCCCACATGATTACCATTAGTGTCCTCATTTACACTTGTCCCAAATATTCCCCTTCAGAGGGTCCAACTGACCAAGCAAGGCCATGCAAATACAAGAAAAACATGGCTCAGCACTGTGATAAAAATTTCCACGTGTTTCTTGTACTTTAATAATTAAAAAGTCCTGATGGCAGAAGGAGGGGGATGTCCTGCTGCTGGCAGGAATGCACACAGCCAGCATCCCTGTGACACCCAGCTGGAGGGAGCCCTGGGCTGCTGTGGGGCACAGGGGGCTGCTGCAGTCCCTGTAAGGCACTGCATGGAGAGGTCTAGATGGAGACCAGAAGCACCCTAAAATCCTTTCTAGGGTGAAGAACCTATAGGAAGAAATTACCTGTGTAGTCCCTACTAGGATCATGCTCCCAAACCCTCCTGCAGTCTCCATCTTCCCCCTGATGGAGAGCCAGGAGGGGAAGGGATGCTTTGCCCATCACCCCATTTCTTATTTTCCTTTTCCGTGGAAGGACAGCAAGTACAGCATTTCTTTTTCTCCCCCATATCCTCCCTCTCTCAAAGTGAGGMGGAAGATGAGGGAGGCTGTTGCAAAGCAGAAGTAACCTCATGGTACAACGACACAGCTCCCATCACCTTGCATGGCAGCACCCAGCAGCTGAGCAACTCAACTGTCTCCTTCCTCCAAGCACTAACATTGAAAAACCCCACATTGCTCTGACAAAGCATCACCTCAAGATCCACAAAATCTTTTCCCTATCAAATAAATTGGATGATGGACCTGGCTGGAAGCACAGCCTTGGGAGATGGGTATAAATCTAATSCTGCTGCCCTGGGACTTGGGGCTCACCTCAGCTCCAGTTATTCGTTAAGTGCCTGGAGAGATTTTACCAACCCCTCCCTGCTGGGAAGCAGACCCAGACAGCAGCGATCAGAGGATCTGGAAATAACAGACTGCACAATTACGGCAAAAACTGGGCAATAGTCACAATGGCCAAAGCAAAGGSATCTGTGGGCAGCAGTGTGGGAGGTGGGGACAATGAAAGGGTGCTCCAGRCTATAGCAGTGTCCTTTCAAGGTGTGCTGGAGTGATTAGATAACAGAACAAGTGAATTAGGAGGAAGAAAAAAGCCTCATCACACACTCAGTGTGGAGATCTCTTGGGGAACTCAAATCAGTCTGTATCAGCCTCAAACTGCACTGCCCCACTCCAGGGAGTTTCACTATAATTACTGCTTTAGAAGACCACCCTTCCTTGGCACATCTGAGCCAGGGACCCACTGGTGTCATGTCCTGACTCTCAGGTTGGTTTTGAATCACTGGGGCAGCCACAGGGCAGAAGATTAGGGTCAGGACACAGGAGTCAGCTTCTTTTGTTAAAGTG